TAGAGCAAACGTGAAGCCAAATTATTTAACACGTAATACATTTACCATTGATTTGAATCCAGTTTTGTGTGGAGGTGTTCTGTGAGATAAAAAAAAAAAAAAATATGCAAATCAGTTGTACCAACATTTTTGCATGTTCAGTACAAACTAGGTGTGGACTGGTACTGCTTCTGGGACATGCTGGACTATACTGAAACACTCAGTAATTACTACACTATACTGTAACCTGTACTTAAGGGTATCTGTTCACCTTTGGGTTATATTCGAATTAAGAGGTCTTCAAAGGTTGCCACAGGCCTAGTTCAAATTCTATTCAGTCTAATCATGTCTGGTTCTGGGTCCTTTTGATTTGTCACAGGGTTCTGGTTGGTGTTCTTTAACTCAACTTTAAAGAATCTGTGAGGTCTTGGTTCTGTTTCCATTGCTTTTTTTGTGTCATTTAAAGATGATTAAGCTTCAGACATGAGGATCCACTCTGTTCACACCATTAAAATCTCAGGCGATCCAATAGTGTGAACATACCCCAGACACAGAAAGGACATATTTTAGACCCAGTGTTTAACAATAATTATCTTGGTGTATCGTAGTTCACCAATAATTACATTTTTAAACTTCTCATTATAACATAAGATCTGTAACTTGGCGTGTGCACAGTGCTATTTGCTGAGTGCTTGCTTGTGCTACTGCATACAGACAGTCACAACTCTAAACACCAGCTGCATTTGTGGCAGCAACTTGGTGTTAATGAAGCGATTTCGTGTGGAATATGAATGTCAGGGCTTGCGGACACTTGGATGACACCACACAAGCAGTATGGAGGCATGTTGTGGTTTTCTTCCATTTTATTACGGCGGAATAAGAGGCTGAACCCCTGCTAAGCCCTGAGACTCCTGAAGTGTTTTCTGGACACTTCGCCCACCCCTCCATCCGCATAGTGGGGAATAGATAATGAGTGAATTGAAATTTTTCAGTGAACTATCCCTTTAACAAGCACATCACAAAGAAAGCAGAAGCTGAAACTCAATAAGGAAGCCAAACTTACAGCCCGTTTTTTTTTTGCTAAGTATGTTTTACTCATTGCTTTTCTGCAGCCGTTCATGTTGTGCTTCCAGTTCCACTTACACAGATGTTGAAAAACCAGCTAAAATCAGGTACTAGTGTTATAAAACTGAATGCTCATCTCATGACAGCCTGCAGATAAGAGGTTGCAGGCTTTGATTAGGCAGCCTTTTGTACATTTGCTTTTTATTTTGTTATTATTAGTTTTGCATGTTGATAAAAATCATTCAATCATCTCTTCAAAATAGTAACAGTAGAATTGCAAGTAGAAATAACTAATTTAAGAGAAAAACTATCTTTAAGTCCCTGTGTTTTCAGCTAAATTTGCAAACACCTTCATATTATGGAAGTGTAATGGTTGCATAACATGATGTGCTTTATTTTCACTCAATAACAATACCGTCAGTTAGGGTGCCCTGACCCCTAGAGGCCGGTCAGTATGAATGTAAAAGGTAAAATGTAAAAAGTACTCTGAATGAAACTCAGTTTATGATCTATCCAATCCCAACAGAATTTAGTTTTGTGTTTGTCCAGGCGCCTTTCAAATTCTTTTGGGTCAACAACCTCTGACTTAAACAAATTGATCTGAAACCAAATTTCACTGAGCAACTTAACTTTCCAACAGACGCTTCTTAACATAAATTGGCTGACCAGAGATCAGTAGTCAGCAGACTAAACTGAATCTTTTATCCGTTCACTCTTACATAAGTCAGCATCCATCTGACTATTGTGTCAGAAGTTGTACCTGGATCAGATGTTTTTGTAGTTTGGTGCAGTGCAGCAGGGAAAGCTCCTCTGGAAGAGACATCAACAGGTTCAACATGATAGCACTCTCTGGAGGGCAAAGGAAAATGTTATAAATTGATTAGAAACAATTAATTAGTTGAATACGAACATTTTTTTTTAGACTATACATTCCTACCAAGTTTACAATAAATGTATGTGATGTCTTGGGATGGTCGAGGATTTCTTAACATTAGTGTTGTGTTAGAAAAATACATTTGCCTGCTTGTCAAATGAATAAACAACATGACGGCTCCACCAACCCCACTTCCTTCAAAATACACTTAATACAATTAATTTTTTCTCTCTTCAAATTTGGTAAAACCATTTACTTGGACGAAAGAAAAGATGACAGCTCTCCATACATAGGTTACAAATTCTGTCCGCCGAGTCTGTCAGTGAGAGAGTGTGTGAGAGAGAAGCAGAGTCAGTGTGTGGGTGTCTGTAACTTAAGGTTACTTAAGGTTCTGGGACTATCGTACAGGAGCTACGCAATTCTTTAACTCTTTTCACTATAAGCTGAGCAGAGCCGCCTCTTTACAAGCCGCAGTACTATGTTGCTTTATAACCACGGTTTGAAAAGATCAATACAGTCACAGCCCTAATATCAAGACTGCCCCTAGGTAATTTCATCAAATGTGGCACATACATTTCTTTAGACTCATGAATGACCTGATTAAAGCTCAATGGTCATGGTCACTTTTCAATTCTCAAAATACTCAAAGATTAACCAATTAGATTTAAGTTGTCAAAAGTAAAAGGTCAAAGTGACCTTATATGAATCTGGAAATCATATGTATATAAATAGTACGATAATTCTAGTTTATACCAAATTTAAAGAAATTCCCTTAAAGGTGCACGACCAAGCTTTTACGTCGTATTTATAGGAAATGCTTCCATTCCAAGTGATGAGGACAAAATCCACACTCGAGTGCAATTCCAGGATTTATCATTTGTTATTATGAGGCTTCATCAGTTTCAGTTAGTCAAATCAACTGCCACTTTTAGCATTACTTTACTTGCTGTAAAGGTACAGTGTGTAGAATTTTGTGATATCTAGTGTTGAAATTGCATGTTGCAGCTGAACACCCCTCACCTCACCCTCTCCTTCCAAAAGTGAAAAAGAAACTGTAGTAGCCTTTAATTGTCTTAAAACTCAAAAGGTGTTAATTTGACCAGTCTGGACTACTGTAAAAAACATGGCGGCCTCCGTAGAGAGGGTCCCCTCGATGTAAATATAAAGTATTTAAATATAAAGGACCTTTTCTGGGTTAAAGAAAACTGTAATTCATACAATTTAGATGAAACAAACTAGTGAAAACATCATGAGGATTATTCTACATTAAATTTCTGCTAATAGATCCCTTTCACCTAAATCTTACACACTGGACCTTTAAGGTGTTCCAGAGATGTTGCATTCACAAGAATGGGACAGATGAACATACCATCATACAAACGTACAGACAATCTGGCCACTGGTTATCACCGGTGCTAAAACTAAATGGAAACATCACGATTGAAAGCTGAGACTGACTCTCTAGTAGTCAAACGTGTATTGGTGGAACCTCGATAAAGTGGATCGATTGACTCTGGCTCCACATTGGTGCAAGATGACAGCATTTGTGTCTGGGATATTTTGTGTTCATTTCTAAAAAAGTGAGAGGAAGTGGAATCTATGCTGCTAACATTAAAATATCCAAAACAATGAATCTCCAACTCACCCATGGGGGTGAGAGGGCGCTCATCATCCGACTCGTGCATGGCACTCATGTAGTGATAGAGCCTCTCAAAGTCCACACTTGAGTTGACACTGATGGTTCTGGGACTGAGCTTAGTGGCATATTTCCTGGTGCAACCAAACCCGGAAGGAGATGCAGCAGTAGGAGTGGAGAGTGGGGCCACTGGGTGGTTGGTGGCAGTAATGGCAGACTTAACGGACGATGGAGCAGTACTGGGGAATGGGACGAGACCGGTGGCAGACAAAGCGAGGGGCATGCCAGGACTGGAAGAAGTGGACTTTAAAGGAAAGATGGTGGACGGTTGCTGCTTTACAATGCTGTCCACATTCACAGTCTTCACCCCCGCAGTAGTATTCGAACAGGTTTTGACTGGGATCACAGTCTGTGACACAAGCTGTGGATTTGTTGGAGGCACGGCCAACTCTGCTATACCTGGGGGGTAGGAGGTGACAGCAGTTGGAGCGGAGCAGGTGGCAGCAGGTAAGGTTGCAGCTGTGTTTGAAGGCGGTTGCTGAGGTGGAGGGATTTTGCTAATTGGCAATCTAACCACATTGGATAATACTGGGCCTCTCTTGGCCCGGCCGCCTTTGGTTGGTGCTGGCGTCTTGAACACCAGAAAAGGAGGGGCTGGGTTGGTGCCAGGGCGCTTACCTAAGGGGGCAACATTTTACACAAGATGTCAATTTATCACTGTAAAATGGAGGAAGGTACAGCGTACATACACTTGCACAACGTTTGAAGAAGTATTGCATTTACTTTTTCCATTCCCTTCTGACTTTACAGATCGACTTGACCTAAACATTTTTTGAATGATCTGGCGTCGATTTTGACCACCACTGATAATATTGAATGAATTGCATGTCCAAATCACACCGTGTTTGACACTGCACTTCCAGGGGCTGTTAGGCAAACACATACCAAGCTGTGAAGCTTATAAGGGTTTGTGAGATTCAGACAGACAGACATTTCTGGAATTAGTAGGTCGGACAACCTTCCTCTCATCATATGTCTCTGTTGCTCTGTGATGTGACGCTGCAGACACTTTCAGTTGCAGACTATAACTGCAGCGTCAGACTACGTTTTGCTGATTAATATTTGACATTCGAAATTTTTTACAATAATGAAGTAAACTTTTAAGTTCATAAAAAATTAAACAGTTGGAGGGGCCATTGGCCAGATTATATATAATCGTGTGCCGGAAAACAGCGTTCAACAAGGTTAACACCAGTAACACTGCAACCCTACACAGAGGTGACTCAGGTGTTTATTCTGATGCAAGACCAAGCTTTTACATCATATTTATAGGAAATGCTTCCATTCCAAGTGATGAGGACCACATCCGCACTCGAGTGCAATTCCAGGATTTATCATTTGTTATTATGAGGCTTCATCAGTTTCAGTGAGTCAAATCAACTGCCACTTTACTTGCTTTAAAGGTACAGTGTGTAGAATTTTGTGATATCTAGTGTTGAAATTGCATGTTGCAGCTGAACAACCCTCACCCTCTCCTTCCAAACTGGTTTTTGTAAACTGGTGTTTAGTTTGTCCAGTCTGGACTAATGTAAAAAACATGGAGGCCTCCGTAGAGAGGGTCCCCTCGATGTAAATATAAAGTATTTAAATATAAAGGGCCTTTTCTATGGTAAAGAAAACTACAATTCATCGGATTTAGATGAAACGAACTAGTGAAAACATCATGAGGATTATTCTACTTCTAATTTCTGCCAATAGATCCCTTTCACCTAAATCTTACATACTGGACCTTTAACAGCAACAACCAACAAATACAGGCCTCAAATATGACACGTGTTGACTAGGTTTCAGACTTTAGAGTCACCTGTTGAGTAGAAAAGAGCCATTAACAGCTCAGTGCATTTGTTCTGCCAGCATTATTGAAAAAGACCTTTTAATCAGTCAAACTGTCCATTTTAGATTGAGGATGTAATGACCTGTAGGTGTTTACTGGCTGAATATGTAGAATGCATTTAAGAATATGTAAAACAGGCAACTCATTTTAGGGATTGTTTATGTGTAGCCGTAATCAGGCTGGAGTCTCTATAATATCTGTTGGAAATGACAGAGAATCAAATTGGAGGGCAATACCTTGGACCGGCAAAGAAAGCATTGGTCTCTGAGAGATGCTGCGTCCCACATGCCTGTCTGCGACTTTGGACAGTCTGTGGACCTGAGAAGGGGCCCCGTTCCTCAGAGTACGAGGTTCAGTGGATGACACTTTCAACATCTTAAAAACAGAGAGCAAGAAAGTGGAATGAAGGAAATGGTGCCAGCGATTCTAAAAAAAACCCTGTTTATTTCATCACATGCTCTTATCCAACTGAAGCTTATTTCTCAAAGCACGTTAAACAGAATTGTCAAAAACAAATAAAATAGTACAAACAGCCGTCATCCTTGGCACAACAAAAATTAAGACAAATATGCATCGTTAAGATTTTAACTTTTTGACCTGAGCATTCCAAATATAATCACTGTTCTTCCATACTGAAATGGAAATGCAAAACAACTTGGGTATCTTGCCATACCTGAGAGAAAGCACGCCAAATGGGTTCTTTAAGGGTTCCAGTCACAGCCGAAGCCAGATGTGTCCACATCTCGATGGGCTTTCTGACCATCTGGTCTTTATTTTTCAGGTAGAAGCTGGCATAGGAGATCACTTTGTCCTTAAGCCCATCTACAAAATATTGGATCTAAAGAAGAGAGAATCCGACAACACCTTATATAGTGATTATACTGTGTACGGCACACATAGCTATGTTTACAAAGCTCCTTACAGAGCACTTGTACTGTAGAAGGACGTTCACTGTTTCTACCATGTTTCATTTTAGGATTTAATACCTTTATTTACATAGTTGTAAACTAAATACCTCCGGGATTCGGACTAAGGCTCCTGTAAACAAAAAGTCATGGAGATTTATGTACTGAAAAGGTTGACAAGGAAACTCACCACCTACCATCACTAGAGATATTACAATGACTACATTTCACAATAACAGTTTTGAGTCATAACAACATTTTGTGAAAACCTCTGTACATATTTATACATTTTAAATCAGAAGCACCTTCAGGACTACATCTAACTTCTAATATTTACCTCTGTCAAAGGAGGTTATCTACCTCTGCCAAGGAGGCGTTCGTTTGTCTGTTTATCAGGACTATGCAAAAACCACTGGATGGATTTCCACAAAACTTGGTGGAAGGATTCGTCACAGGTTAAGAGAGAACACATTAAATCTTGGTGCAGATCTGGATCAAAGGGCAGATCCAGGAATTGTGTGTCGTATTCTCTGCAGCATTTCTCACAGAATTTATTCAATCTATGGCGACAGCACGTGCATGCGCACAGAGTTTGCTCTCACATGCAACAGATTCTGTGAGAGCCAGATACACAGACAAAACTAATTCAATTCAAACAACTTCATAAATCCCTCTGGGCAATTCATTTGGAACTGCTTGCATAGACAGGTACAAGATACGAGGAAACTATATATGTGTGTGTGTGTGTGTGTGTATACATATACACACACACACACACATATATATATATACACACACAAACAAACACACTACTCAGAAAAATGTCACATTTTAACCTGCTTTCCCCTGCTTGGTGAAAGTGACAACAGGTACAATGAGAGGGACAAAGGCAAGTTGTCAGGGAAGACCAGAAAAAAAACAACTAATTTCTTTATTAACAAAAATGCAATAATAATCTTTACAATGAATTGGGGCTCATAACAGGTAAACCTAAAAGATCTAAACTCAGGCACCAACTGAAGAGAACTCAACAGCACAAACTGAGACACTTACATTTTAAACAAACCACAACAACCACAAAACTGGCCAGTATAATGCTGTCTAATATTATCTAAGGAAAAAGTATTCAACAACAATCAAGACAGTAGTAGAAGATTTTACAACTAAAAATCTAAATAACAGTTTCTGTCCCTATGATTATGAGGAACATGGTGCAGTCCAACTGATAATCTACCATTTAAGCCTGTCTGCTGAAAGACTTATTGAATTCTCACAAAATATAAGCGGATGAAACAAATACAGCAAATTTGACAAAAGCTCCCTAAATGTCTGCACTCAAAATAACCTATTCAACTAACTTATGTTATATGAAACCAAAATATGTGTCCAGTTATTAATATGTTACATGTGTTTATGTGCATTTTAAGTGTGTGTGCTAAAAGAAACCTAAACTAAAGCAAATTAAAGAGATGGAAGAAAGGTTACGGCCATGTTGCAGCGGTTCAGTGTAAATGGTAAATGGTTTGTATTTATATAGCACTTTTCTAGTCTTGATGACCACTCAAAGCACTTTACAGTACTTTTTGTTCTATGAGGGACAATATGGGGTCAAGCATCATGTTATGTAATTTTGTTCTCAACAAGTTAAACAATGTACATCAGTAAAGATTTACACCTTGAATAATTTGTTTATCAAGATCTAATGTATGACATGTGTTCTCTAAAATGTATAAATATTTATATATAGAGAGAGAGAGATAAGATATTTCTTATCTTTTACCTTTTTAGAATGTTTAATGTGAAGATATCTGTATCACCTATTTTCAAAGGTCTTATGAATAAACTTGATTATTAGTGACGCTCTGAGGTTGTGATGTGTCACTCTTATGTGAGTTTGTTCTGTGGAAACAGATAGTTTTTCAATGACAGTCTCTTATTTTGTTGCTTAAATTGCATATGCATATTTTTTTATGAAAAACATTTTCTCTGAAACAGTTTCATCGGCAGTCAGAACTTTTTATAATTTATTTTATTTAGTATTTGTCATTACTTAATTGAGTTCAAGTAATTGTGTGTCTTCATTATTTAATGAATGAAATACCTCATAAATTCAATCGTGCATTCACATATTGAACAAATGTGATGACCCACACTGCTACAGGGCGCTGGTCACTTATTTATCTAATTCTATTATTATTGAATGTATTCTGTATCTAAATTACTCCAAATTCGAACACTGTAATTCCCTGAGCTAGTAAGAATGCACAGTGTGAACAGAGCGTGAAGTCGATGAGATGAATGGTTCGAGTTCCACAGACAGACAATGGAATTAGTAGATAGATTATCCTAAAATGTAATCTCAGTATTATTATCAATAGCAGTGATAATAACAGGAAGGCAGTACGCTTGTTCACCTAGCCCAGAGGTGTGATGGGTAGTAACTCCACTGCACATTTTCAATGAACTGCGCATATCCAGAAGTAACCTGGATGGCACAAATATCGGTCCAGTATCCAAGTCTTGTAACAAATTTATGGTAGAACAGAAAAACACTGCTGCCTTATGATTTCTCCATGTAAAGATACCACCGTAGGTGAGTTTAGCCTCTTTAGGGGTGTGCGAGCACAAGATTATATTAACTAATGTTGCCAGATATTAAAAATGATATATGTATGTATATTTTGTCCTACATTTCAGACGTTTGGGGTTCATGTAAGTCCATCTTTGGGTTTCTTGTTTTCTTGTCACTGTGTTGGTCAGTCTGCATTTAACATGGACAGCTTACAACTTAAGTGATGCACCTCTCTGTCTCGTAATGACAGAGTTTGGCTCCATGATTTATCGTAAGTACCTCAATGGAGAGTGAACTGAAGCATTAGTCCTCATTACACATCTTTCTGCTTTGTTCAAAATGCAACATTGACTTTCTATGGCAGGAAAGATATTAGTCTGAGGACGAGTAGCCTTTACAAAGTTTGTGGAGTCAGTTAGTGTGCATTGTTGATAAGTGTGATGTGATGGATGTGAGGCAGTGACAGTCCCTTTCACCCTCAAGGCGATAATAATACACGTGGTTGGTTTGACAAAGCAAAACACGTTGCCGAATAATTGTGATTTGATTTGAAGAAACCCGGAGTCAATAAATGATACACGTCAATAGAGAGAAATGGCATTTGACAGTAATATTCCTGGAAAGAGTAGAATATCGCACGCACCTCTGGGATGGACCGAGTGGACACCTGTTTCCCCAGGACGGCGTAATCGATGTCTCCGCGGCCTCCGGGCGTCTCGCTGAGGGTCGTCAGGGCCTTCAGGAGTTTCCTCCGCTCCGATCGCTTCCAGTTGTGGGACACTTTACCCGAGCTCGGCGGTAAAACGTCAGGTGTCAGGATGCGCCCTGGTTTATTTCGAATACGAGGAGGCGGCTTCATCTCGCCGATGCAAACCTAAGCTGAGTCACCGGAGGACGAACAGAAAGATGATCACCGAGCTCCGGCTGGTTCGATCGCTGTGCCTCCCAAGTCCCTCATTCAATCGACATGAAGTTACGAGTGCGTGATTCACTTACAGAACTGTAAAACCACAAACCACTCACGTTGAAAAAAGTGTTTCCGGACAAACAATACTACTTCCTGTGCGATCTTCTTCTTCTTGTTTGATGCCGGGGGGCATCTGGCCTTAATGCGCATTACCGCCACCTACACCAGAGGAGTGCGGGTTACTACTTCTTCTTCTTCTTCTTCTTCTTCTTCTTGATCTTCTTTTCTTTTCTTTCTTCTTCTTCTTTTCTGTTTTTCTTCTTGATCTTCTTGTTTTTGTTCTTCCTTTGGGTTTTATTGGCAAACAACGATTTGGTGCATGTATGGAGTGTGGATTTTGTCGTCTTTTAATTATATTATCTATTCTACTTAGTAAAAA